TACTGTCTTATATATTAGGAACGTTGGATATATCGTCATAGGCCTGTAACGCTTGAAGGAAATTCATTTGAATTTCATTTATTTATCACTTAGTTAACATTATCTGTAACACTAAAATGCCAAGATGATGTTTAAAAAACTTAAAATAGTATCAAATACAGCACCGACTGATAACCCCGTTATTTTTTGTACACATATGACACAAAAGATTACGCGTAAAAAACTGTGTCACCAATCCTTTCCATATTCGCACAAAGTAGCTTGAACATTGCGAATGTGAAGTGACAACCTAAAACCTCTCTATTGGGAAGCACAGGCCACCTCTAATTTTTAGGAGGGTTGCGATGTCTAAAGGACTATGTGAACCTTACGATTGCAACAATAGATGACGTCATAATAATAATAATTTTAATGTCGCCAATACCTCTTGTTATAGTTGTGAAATTACTTAACGACAGGTTTGCATATGTTATCAATTCAAATTTAATAGCACTTAAGGTTAATTTTAATGGTACGGGAAATTTCCACGTTTATGTTTGTTTCTAGTGTTTACAGAATGTATTGCAATTCGCTTTATTATTTAAACTACTTTTGTTCTTTTGTATAGTGCCACCAACTTATCTGTTCAGGTGGACAAAATTGGAACTAAGGCCGCCATTTTGTAAATGACATTTCGCTGTCAGTTATTATTTATTCTGAGCTATCAGGTGAGTGTTTTTAAAAAGTGCAAATAAAATGCCTAAAGCTCTTAAAAGTGATGCGCGACAGATTATCCTAAAAGTTTTATCTTTTATGAAAGAAGAGAAACGTGTACAAGCCCCAATTATACCATTTGAAAAGCTGTATGAACGCGTTACTGCCGCGACAGGTTAGTATTGCCAGATATGGAAAATTAAAATCACCTAATAATGTACTTGTGAAACATAGTAAAAAAAATTCTCAATTTACTGTAATTCGTCTAAATTACCTAGCTTTGTAATTTGTGGTCTGTGAAGTAGCTATAGTGACGGCATATACACGGGCTTATATTTATTTAATTTTACCTATACAATAATTATTTGTCGTTTCGTTACAGGTGTTTCTGAGAGATTTGTACACAAACTCGTAAATGAAGAGAAACACGCTGAAGAATCAAATTCTAAAATTTCTACCCCTGGCAAAAAAAAGCAAAGAAAAACCGGGAAACAAGAAGTTGATAATTTCGACATTGGTGTTATAAGAAGAAAAATTCACGAATTTTATTCAGTGAAAAAAAGAAATTCCTACCATACCCAAATTACTGAGTATTTTAAAAGAAGATATTGATTTCAAAGCAGAACGTGAAACTCTTCGAAAATTGCTTCACAAAATAGGATTTAGTTATAAGAAAACAAAATCAAATAGAAAAGTGTTGTATGAACGTAACGACGTAGTTGCATGGAGAGCAACCTACCTACAAAAAATTAAAGAAAATGAGTGTGGTGAAAAAAGACCTATTATTTATTTAGATGAAACTTACATACATTCGTCTCACTCAACTGGGAAATGTTGGCAAGGTCCTGAAGAGGATAGCGATTTGGAACCTGTTTCGAAAGGTAATAGGTGGATCATAATCCATGCAAATGGAGAAAAAGGTTTTGTGGAAAATGCACTTCTCGTATTTAAATCAAATACAAAGTATGGGGACTACCATGATGAAATGAATAGCACTAATTTCAAAAAATGGGTATATGAAAAATTACTACCTAATCTGCATGAACCTTCTCTCATTGTGATGGATAATGCGCCATACCATAGTATTTGCGTAAATAAGTGTCCTAATTCAAACCACAGTAAGGCTGATATGCAGAAGTGGCTTGTAGAAAACAATGTGGATTTCAATGAACAAATGACAAAACCACAGCTTTATGAGTTAATAAAGAAAAATAAACCTGCTCCGGAATATGAAATTGATAACCTGATGAAAAGTTATGGCCATGTTATTCTTAGATTGCCGCCTTATCATTGGGACTTGAACGCAATTGAAATGATATGGAGCTCTATGAAAAGGCACATAGCAGACAAAAATGTTGGAAAATCTAATGTTCTAATGCCCCAATTAATTGGAGATGCATTCAATAAAATTACACCGGTGCAGTGGAAAAACATTTGTAATCATGTGAAAAAAATTGAAAATGAATACAGACTAAAAGACGCGTATTTAGATGAACCCTTTATTATAGAGTGTCAGAGCGATAGCGAAAGCGATTCCAGTGACTCAGAAGATGAATTATTGGAATCAGTAGCTAACGCGGGTACGTCTTTCAAAACAGAAATTCCTGGAGTTCGGCCGCTTGAACTCCGAGACCACGACCACAATTATTTTTATAAAATATAAATAATATATATAATAACACTAATTCTCACTAATTTTAATATATTAACACGAAATTTGTTTTATTTTATATTATGTGTACCTAATGAATATGTAGTCACCTATTTCCTCGGCGAATTTCTTAAATGGCAATGGTAAGCACTCCACTAGCGACTCTGTAAACTGAACAGATAAGTTGGTGGCACTATACATGAATTCAATTTTACGACATAAAAAAAGAGGCTAAAGTCAACATATTTGTTTCTGTATATTTTGCTAAGAGAGAACCATTTAACCGATACATTAATAAGAATTAAAACCAATAAAACTAAAAAAAAATAATTTCCACATTATAGCTTCTGAAGTCGGTGCTAGTCAGAAAGAATAATGTGCAAATTATATATATATATATATATATATATATATATATATATATATATATATATATATATAACACTTTTAATTAAAAGTGTATTGATTTTACCCTCTTTAAATCGTTGAAATAGATAAGAGTTGAAGTTCAAGGTAACAACTAGTACTCATGTCTTTTAAAGAGATATAATAAAATCTTCAGCCCTATTTTTCCACTGCGCTGCAAAGTCTTTAAAAAAATTCGTATCGAACTACCCCTGAAATATAACCTAATTTCACAATCATCACAATCGATACATACAAAAAAACATAGAGTCGAAGTGTACATCTCCTCCTTTTAAAGCTGACTAACATATTTCTAATAAATATATACTAACAACTGACGACCGATGACGACGAGATGGATGATACTCGTACATTGCTTTAAAAATCGGTTAAAAATTTAAAACCGTAAAGTTATACCTCACAGATAAGATGCATACTAAGAAATCCAGCTATAATAATAATAACACACAATAACCAATAAAATGTCTTAAAAAGCATAAACAAACAGTTTATTAGAGTAAAATTACACAAAAAACATAATAACGGGACAGTTGACATCCGTTCTATTAGGGTCTTGACAATTTTTTTAAAGAATAGGGGGCAAACGAGCGTGCGGTTCACCTGATGGTAAGTGACTACCGCCGCCCATGATCAACCGCAACACCAGGGGAATTGCAGGTGCGTTGTCGGCCCTTTAGAAAGGAATAACCTCTTTTCTTGAAGGTGCCTATGTCGTATTTACTTGAAACCCACCTGTAACGAGTGAAGAAAGATACCAAATAAAATAATAACCATGTCCTCCAGACAGAATTTCCCTCACTGCAGCCAATCTCAACGGCAGCTAGCCATCTTTCTCATCTCATCACATCTTCTTTACTGTTTGATAAAAAACCTCCACCCTGAGCATGATTAATTCATGGCTGGCATACGGCATTATAATAGTTGTTTTCAAAAAACCTCATTTGGAGCTAAAACGATAATACAGAGTGGTTTTATGCCTACATTCAAAATGCAGGGCCAGGTGTATAATTTGGTTGGAAGTTTAATAATATAATAATAATAATAATAATAATGGAAGGAGAAGGAGCTCCACGGGAGATTCTACAAGTCTCTACATGGGCCTTTCGTAGACACAGTAACCTCTCTCCACTGGCTACGCTTTGGTGACCTCTTCGGGGAAACCGAGGGTTTTGTCTGTGCAATACAGGTTATTAAGACCAACAACTATCGGAGATACATCCTAAAGGATGGCACCATCGACATCTGTCGAGCTTGTCGCCATCCCGGTGAGTCACTTAGGCATGTCATCTCCGGTTGTTCGGCGCTTTCTAACTCTGAGTACTTGCACAGGCACAACCTAGTAGCCAGAATTCTACACCAGGAGCTCGCTCTGAAATACGGTTTCGTGGATCGGAAGTTGCCGTATTACAAGTACTTGCCGGAAGCCGTGCTCGAAAATGATCGCGCCAGGCTCTATTGGGACCGGGCCATCATCACAGACAGGACTATTCTTGCGAATAAGCCTGATATTGTGCTGATGGACCGGGCACAGTCAAGGATATTTTTGGTCGACATTACCATTCCGTGTGACGAGAACCTCGTGAAAGCCGAAACAGATAAGCAAACAAAATATCTGGACCTGGCTCACGAGGTGACCGACATGTGGGGTGGTCTGCCGACCGAAATTATTCCTGTAGTCGTCTCTGCAAACGGGCTAATCCCAGTCAGCCTCTCGGGTCATCTGAGGCGGCTGGGACTACGTGGCGGACCGCTCCAGGCTCAAATGCAGAAGGCGGTGCTCCTCGATACCGCCCGCATCGTCCGCCGGTTTCTTTCCCTTTCCCCCTAACCCTCGGCCGTTTGGTCTCCCCTGCCGAGGGCTTCCATCTGGTTGGGCTTTTATTTATTTATGTATTTTCATATTTATTTTATTTTATTGATATTTTTGTATGTTTATCTTTTCATTTTCGTTTATAATTATATATTTATACATCCCAACCAGATGAGAAAACTATATAGATACCCCACATAATAATAAGGCGTAGGGAAGTGACGACCCCATCGCCCGCTGACGTAACGGTTATGTGACAAAACCGCTACGTCAGCGCAGTCAGTCAGCACCTTGCCAAGAGGTGTTAGTGCCGTGCCTCGGCAAAAATTGAAGGTGCAAAGGCCCGCTTGTGCACATGGCCTCACCATGAAACGGCGCCGGGTCTGGGCGTCTCCCGCTAAATGACGCCCACCACTATGGATGATGGAATACGGAAGAACGCGCAAAGGGCCGCTGCCTGGAGGTCGCCAGGGCGCGTCTGGAGCTGGCGCTGGACGCGGCAGCATGCGAACCGCCAGCCGAGCGCGAGGTGCTGCACGACCACCCAGCAGCCCCTCGCATCCATCATCCCCACCAGCTGGCTTGGTGTCGGCAGGGTCTTCGCGGGCCCAGCAATCGGCACCCGCCTCTGGTGGAGTACGCCGCATGCGTTGGACAACCCAGATGAACAGCAACGCATTGCGGGCGTATTTTGGGGCGAAAGGGGGAGAAACTGGATGTTTGGCGTATCGGGCTAGGATGCATCGTCTTTTTGCTGAGCTGGAGCCATCTTTAACCGTCACAGAGCAAAACCTGGCAGACCGAGTTCGGTATATCTTGCGCTCAAATATATTTGATGTCGCCGAACTCGAACGGCTACGACGTGAGGCTGTTCCCTCGTCGGATAAGAATGCTACGGCTGAGGATGCGGCGCCACAAATGGTAGAGCAACCCGCAAACGTGGATGCCGCCGTGAATACCCCAGTTGTGGTTGATTCAAACGATGATGGAACAGTCGCCCAGGAACTGGAATTAGAGCATATGAGGAGTACATTGGAAGAGGCGATTGTGGAAACGCGCAGTACGCCTCTCGAAAATCGACCGCGACTTCCCCGCATAGCCCTAAGCAAGCGGAATCGGGCTGTCGTGAGGGCTCTGAACCCAATGCTGGTGACCTATTTGGAAGCCAGCCGGGACCTTTGCGAGACGGACTCAATTCTTTTTGGCGCCGCGCTGGCAGTCTGCCGTATCATAAGCGCCAAGGTTTCCACGGCTGGACGCGCTACTGGCCATAGTAGCGCTATCCCAGCATGGAGAAGAAGAATTGAGGAACGTATCGCAAAGGCTAGAGCTCTCATCGGCAGACTGATATGCTTCAGATCAGGCAACAACAGGCCAAGAATTGTGCGCACCGTCAGGATGGCGTTTGCTGGGACAAATGTCAGTTTGTCCCAGCCGGATATAACGCAAAAACTGACGGAGCGCATAGATGATCTGAAGCAGAGAATCGCTGCTTGGGGAAAACGGATTCGGCGATATACCGAGAGGTCGACACGGTTCAACCAGAATCGTCTCTTCCAGAGTGATCAGAAGAGGCTCTATGAATCATTGGAGCGACCAATGGTAAGTGGAACGGGTCCAGCACCGAATCAGGCCGACACTGTAGCATTCTGGCGCGGCCTGTGGTCAGAGCCCGTAAACCACAGCGAGGGCCCTTGGACGGAAGTTGTGGCGAGTCAGTGTGCGGGTATTACGCCCATGGACCCCGTCATCATAACGCCGGATGACGTAGCTGAGGCGGTCCGTAGGGCCCCGAACTGGAAAAGTCCGGGGCTTGACGGGCTGCATCACTACTGGCTGAAGGGGTTCATGGTGTGTCACTCTGTGCTTGCCCGACAGTTTCAAGAGGCTCTCAACCAGAAGTCGCTCCCAAGCCTCTTCACTACTGGGATCACTCATTTGGTTCCTAAAGACCAGGGTACCACAGACCCGAGCAAATACCGCCCCATCACGTGTCTACCGACCATATACAAGACACTAACATCCATTTTGAGCGCGAGAATCACTTGTCACCTGGACTCAAATCAGGTGATGTCGCGCGCTCAAAATGGATGTCGGGGCGGTGGTCGTGGAACCAAGGAACCACTCCTCATTGACGCGGTCATTGGCAAAGTGGTGAAACGCAACCGTCGGAACTTCTCCGCCGCCTGGATAGACTACAGAAAGGCATTCGACTCGGTGCCCCATACATGGCTAAAGAGAGTCCTCGAGCTGTACAAGATAGACTGTACAGTTAGAGACTTCCTTGAGCAGTGTATGGGGCAGTGGAGTACGATCCTTTGTCATCTGGGCGAGCGGATGATGGCTGCGGAGAACCACATAAGGATAAGAAGGGGTATCTTCCAGGGCGATTGTCTGAGTCCAATCTGGTTCTGCCTCTCTCTGAACCCTCTCAGTACCTTACTGGAGGGCTCCGGGAGGGGATTTCAGCTACGGAGAGGAGGGACAAAAGTGACCCACCTTTTCTATATGGATGACCTCAAGTTATTCGCCTCCAGTCGCTCCCATCTTATGGAATTGCTAAACGTCACTTGTGAATTTAGCAATTCCATTGGAATGGAGCTTGGGACGGATAAGTGTGCGGTCCTCCATGTTGAAAGGGGAAGGGTTGCTAACTCTGAGGGCGTAGACTTATCTATGCCCGTCAACTTAAGGACCCTTTCCGAGGCTGAAACATACCGATACCTGGGTATGTCACAAAACATCGGTATCGATGAGACTGGTATGAAACAGTCAGTTTGCGACGTGTTTTATGCACGCTTGACCAAAGTGCTTAACAGCCTTTTGTCCGGTGTGAATAAGGCACACGCATATAACGGCTGGGTCATGCCTGTCCTCATGTATACCTTTGGCATACTCAGGTGGACTCAGACTGAACTTAACGCCCTGGATAGAAAAGTCCGCACTACCATGACGTCCCATAGGATGCATCATCCGAGATCGTCGGTAATGAGGTTGTACTTATCGCGGAAGCATGGTGGTCGTGGCTTCTTGAGCGCGCTCACCATGCATAATCGCGAAGTGTGCAGCCTCCGTGATTACTTCCTGGCGAGATCGGATGATCCATTCTATATGGACGTCATTTCTTGTGATAAAGGACTTACCCCTCTATCCTTAGCCAACGAGCAATGGCAAGACCCGGCAGTGCAGAGCATTTCCGACCGAGAGACCGTATGGAAGGAGAAGGAGCTCCACGGGAGGTTCTACAAGGCTCTACATGAGCCTTTCGTAGACACAGTAGCCTCCCTCCACTGGCTACGCTTTGGTGATCTCTTCGGGGAAACCGAGGGTTTTGTCTGTGCAATACAGGATCAGGTTATTAAGACCAACAACTATCGGAGATACATCCTAAAGGATGGCACCGTCGACATCTGTCGAGCTTGTCGCCATCCCGGTGAGTCACTTAGGCATGTTATCTCCGGTTGTTCGGCGCTTTCTAACTCTGAGTACTTGCACAGGCACAACCTAGTAGCCAGAATTCTACACCAGGAGTTCGCTCTGAAATACGGTCTCGTGGATCGGAAATTGCCGTACTATAAGTACTTGCCGGAAGCCGTGCTCGAAAATGATCGCGCCAGGCTCTATTGGGACCGGGCCATCATCACAGACAGGACTATTCTTGCGAATAAGCCTGATATTGTGCTGATGGACCGGGCACAGTCAAGGATATTTTTGGTCGACATTACCATTCCGTATGACGAGAACCTCGTGAAAGCCGAAACAGACAAGCAAACAAAATATCTGGACCTGGCTCACGAGGTGACCGACATGTGGGGTGGTCTGCCGACCGAAATTATTCCTGTAGTCGTCTCTGCAAACGGGCTAATCCCAGTCAGCCTCTCGGGTCATCTGAGGCGGCTGGGACTACGTGGCGGACCGCTCCAGGTTCAAATGCAGAAGGCGGTGCTCCTCGATACCGCCCGCATCGTCCGCCGGTTTCTTTCCCTTTCCCCCTAACCCTCGGCCGTTTGGTCTCCCCTGCCGAGGGCCTCCATCTGGTTGGGCTTTTATTTATTTATGTACTTTTATATTTATTTTATGTTATTGATATTTATGTATATTTAGTTTTTCATTTTCATTTATAATTATATATTTATAGAACCCAACCAGATGAGAAAACTATATAGATACCCCATAATAATAATAATTTTTATTGACATTTTCATAGTTCACATACTTTTTGCAAATATATTATACAATACATTATGAGGACCAATTTGAAATGGGTAGAAACCTGAGTTTCCTGGCTAGGTTACATAGTAGCCTGTATTTAGGAGACACAGTCCCATCCCCCCTGTTGATTAGGAATACATAGTTTATTAAATTATATATTATAAATGATCTCTCTCTCCCTCTTTGTGTGTGTGTGTGTGTACGTACGTGACGTAATTTTATAACAATGTTAACAAGTATTGCTCTGTATCATCATACGACTTGCAGGAAAGAGTGAGTTTGCTTCCGCCACCCCAGAATGAACCACAGTTCTTATAGATATATCTTGTTGGTGAGGACGATAGATCTCAATAGAGATGCAATAACTTTCTTTATGTAAAACCTGGCTTTGTTAGGTAGGCAGGACAGGATTATAGTGCACGAGTATATGCGCAAGCACAGATGCACTCTGTTTTCCATCATTCTTATAGTACGATAAGATGGTAATCAGGCTACACCAGAGAAATATCAGGCGCACGATCAACGGGTCTACATGCTTTTCGAAATACGGTGATGACACAATGCCAACTTTCTAACTCTGGGTTGTTACTGAGAATTCCTTGACAGAAAAACTCAATAAATGATTTAGGCTCGTTAACCTACGTCAACTACTCAAAATGCTGGTCACCTCTGAGAACTAAGATGGAAGCCTCCTAGTAAAAGGATCTAATCACTATATGTTTATACAGGCGAATATGTATTGTGTATGAACACATATCTTGTGTCAGTGTTACGTAACATAAATCAACATAATGCCTGATCTTTGCACTTCTTTACGTCTTATATTAAGTTATTCATAAATAATAGTTTGTAATGTGTGTACTTTAATAAAGACAACATTACAATGAAGAAGCTATAAATATATTTCTCTATAGCTGATAAATTCTGACGTTATATAACGGTTTTAGTATGACGGCTATCGCTGTAATGTTGATGAAATCCTTTTGAATGATTACCTTTCCTTTCCCGGTGGCAATGTCCGGATATTGGTGAAATGAATATTTTCTTACATGATAGAGCCATGCTGCAGTTATATTGGAAGTATAGTCGTAGCACGAATGGGTCGGCTCGACCGGGGAAGGACCACGCTCTCACAGAATACCAGCGTGAAATAGTAGCTTAGTGCTGCTGTGTTTCGTATGGTGAGTGTAGAGAACCGGAGACCCTTTTTATTATTAGTAATTGATTTTATTATAAAAACTTTTGAATATTTGCATGCTGTTGAAAACAGTTAAATAGGTTTTCTTAACACAATAAGAGTATAAAATCAATAGAAAACATTTTGTACCTATTTAGTTGCAAATAAAGAATTTGAATTTGAATTGAATTACTGGAAACGAGGCATTCCATCTTAGTCCTCACGGGTGACAACGCATCTGCATTTTGATTCGTAATCGAGGATAGATGCAGATGTCTATGGGCCACAGCAACCACTTACCATCACGTGGACTGTGTGCTCGTTTGTCACACTATCCTATAAAAAAAATTGTATTTATCAACTATGACACCGTCAACGTTACCTCATAGGGCAAATATTTTCCATTGTCACCAAGCTAGGCGAGCGCGATGGCAACCGCAGTTTTTTGAAGTAAAGCGTTACGAAAAGTGTGATTGGAGGAGCGAACGGTAGTTGAGTGGGGGATATAAACAAGAGAGAGCAGTACGCGCGCACATTTTCTTTCTCTTTCCCTCACAGCCAGTTATTTTTCGAAATTTTATTTCGTTTTAAACAATTTTATGAATTAATATTTTGTTCAATACAATAAATATTCTACGTTTAAAGTAGAGATGCCGTGAATACTCGCTATTATTCGGTTTTCGGCATTACTCGGCATTTTTGTTACTCGTCGAATATCGAGTAATAGTGTTCATTATTCGATATTCCGCGAAAAGTTCTCTAAATAAAATAAACTTATATGTAATGAACAGAAAAACTATAAATAGACAAAATAATTACTTATATTTATCTTTTAAACAAAACGCACTTATTATTGATATATAATCATCATTAAAAATATAAAAGTTAGCAAAAATCAATCAAATAACATATAAATGATAGGTAAATTCAAGAGACTACTACAAGTGTAATATTACTATTTGAAAACAAATAAATTATTTTGCATATTCCTTTTTTAATTTCGAATGATAATAGTGAGTATTCGATTATTCGCCATGAGGAATGGCGAGTAATCGGTATTCGACTATTCGCCTTATTTAGGAGGGTAGAGTAGAAAAGAGTTAAACGCGATGTCCCAGTGCGTGTAGAGGGCTACACACATCCCCGAAATATTTTTTTATTTTCAGATGCACGTCTCCTCACGACGAATTTCCACAACTGCGAGTACGTGTTTAGTCAACGCTTAAAATTTTTGATTAAGGATTAAGTGCCAGTGGTGATGATGGGCGTAGTAGGGTTACTCGTTTACTATCGAATTTCTCTACTAAAGCTCTATCTTCAAATATTTAACCGTTGATGCACCTGTCCGTGGTAGTGTAACTCCTGAACGGTTTCACTGATTAAAGTAAATAATATATTAAATCTATTGTGTAGAGAATAATATGGTGTACCTCAATCGATGAGTCCCCAAAATGCCCCACTCCTGCTCTACCATAGCTCTATCTTTACGCAAATATAACCTTTGGTTTTGTTAGTAGTCGTGTAACTTCTGAAATGCTTCACCGATTTAGATAGATAATATATTAAATCTGTTAAGTCGAGAATAAAATATATGAAATACATTGCGTACTTGAAAGCCATCAGCGCAGGAAGGATTATACACAGTCATGTGCCGGATTTATGTAGAAAATTTACATAACTTATGTTTATAAAAGTTGTCTGTAATTTTAAATGTTTAAAACAGTAGAGCCGCAGCGTAAGCAAATCAAACACACCAGGATTGTGTGTCATGGGGAGTTGCTACGAGATATGGAATTAGGATTCCGACAGATGACGGTATATCCATCTCGCTTATGCGAGACATAATATACCCACACCGACGACGGGAAGCAGCATCAAAGGTGCGAGATATACTTGGTAGAGCCATGCTGCAGTTACTCGTATATTGGTAGTATAGTTGTAGCACGAATGTGTCGCCTCGATCGGGAAGAATCACGCTCTCACAGAATACCAGCGTGAAACAGTAGCTTAATGTTGCTGTGTTTTGTATGGTGGGTGTAGAGAACCGGAGACCCTTTTTACTGGAAACGAGGCATTCCATCTTAGCTCCCACAGGTGACAACGCATCTGCATTTCGATTCGTAGTCGAGGATAGATGTAGATGTCTATGGGCCACAGCAACCACTTACCACCAGGTGGACTGTGTGCTCGTTTGTCACCCTATCCTATAAAAGAAATATACCCACGCTGGCAACGGGCTGTAGCGTCAAAGGTACAAGACGTCTGGCACTGCTATCGTCAGTGCGCCTGCCAAGTGTGATGGTTAAGAAACATCGTCTCGACAACGGGAGAAGTCCATGTCCAGCTGTGGTCTTGTACGTATTTATAATAATAATAATCCTTATTGATAATTATATAGTGAATATGTGAAGTCTCTCATTGCCTAACTAGGAATTATAATCTGTAACCTTAGCAATCAGCGCCCTCTCCCAATTTTATGACCAAAGTTAACAATAAACGTTCCAATTAATAATATGAATGTTTCGAACAGAATGAGAATAGTTGAACTAACTACTTAATGTGTGTATGCGCATGTTTATGTGTATCTGTTTTATGTAAAAAAAATCTTTATAAAATATATTTTACATAGTAACACGACTAATGGGCGGAATCTCTTTTTATGTATACATAAATATATGGAAAATAGGAGTAAAACATCATACTGATGACGACGGCTCCGTGACGCACTGGCTTAACAATAAGTTACAGCGCCGTGGGTTCGAATCCCGCATGGAACAAGTATTTGTATTTGTAATTGTTTCGGGTCTGGATGTTCGTCCTTGTGAAATTTATGTTTGTATACTGCCCCAACGATACTGGAGAAAATCCTATTGTGAAGGTGAAGTTTTAAAAAAATAGAGTAGAGAGTAGAGAAGAAGAAGATTTTTATGCAATAGTGATCGACAAATGTTACTTTTTATTTAATAAAATATAGACACACTGATAAGTCTTCACGCGCTTCAACCTCTAACAATTGTAAGAAGGTTTGTATCAAAGGATGTTTATTGAAATAGAAGGGGATAGAGTAAGTCAGCTCAAATTCTAATTTCGTCCCCACTTACCCGCGCGTCGCATGCTATGTACCAACATGTTTGTAATCACTAATACTGTAAATAGAAAGGTCGTTAGACACCTATTTCATTAGGTTTATCATATTTATGCCTGTTTTTTAACGCCAAGCCAGTCGCTTCTTATTTTTATTACGGTTATTTCCCATTTTAATTTTACGTCGTCCTGTTGCGTAATGTATATTCTGATCGTAAGCGACACAACCTCCCCCTTCAAAGGCCGAAGCGAAGTGACCGTGCGGCAAGAATCACGCTTCAAAAGGCCGATAGTTTAGGTAATTTCTTTTTACAGTGAAAATAATGGTATTTAAAAAAAAGTAAATAACATAAGCACTGCTTTATAGTTAGTTCAGTTAGTATGCAAAGTTTCATGATCTTATTTATAGTATTTTACGAATTACAGCGGTTTATTGTTTATTTTGGAGGTAAGTTTGGATTTTTTTTCTATCGAGAAAATTTTACGAAATCGTGTTTTCGTCTAACATAATCCTCAACATTAATCCTCAACTTTACCATATATTTATTCCAAAATTAATGCTGCAATATTTTCGGCATAACACAGGATCTTGCTAAGCCATTATATTTAAGCCAGATAATATAAGCCAGATTATATTTCCCCTTAATTTACAACTATAAAAATCTTTATCTCAATTTACTTGGCCCCATAGAAATATTAAAAACAGTTTCAAACAACTTCATCATTATATCTATGCTTGGCCCTCTGAACTGTTACCAGTTTTTGAGGTTATTCCCTACTTAACATATTAATTCTGACTCTATCCTAATAAATAAATGAGTGTTTAAACATATAGAAACCACATGCTGTATATTAACCACAGAAATACGTTTACTTCAGTGACAAAGCAAATTTATGTTGCAGAAGTGATCGGTGGAGCTGTCAAGGTACGCCTTAGATGGAACTTTATCGACCAAATTGGCGACATATTGAAGATGGACCAAATTAAAAGTACCCCTAATTACCAAGCATGTATGCAAATGTATATGGATGTGAGTAAAGTTACAGCCTATATACGTCCCACTTCTGGACACAGGCTTCCCCTCATTTCTGAGACGGTTTTAGGGCATGGAAGTGTCCGCCGCGCTGCCCAAATGCGTGTTGGCAAACTTCACATGTCTTCGAAATATTTTTTTCTCATTCCTCAGACATGCAGGTTTCCTCATAATGTTTTGTATATGGATGTGCATGAAGGTAAAGGAGGCGAGAGAGATGGTTCAGGATCTTGTCAAATGGAAGTCGGTAGTCTCTACCCTCCCGTCTATGTAACAGGCGTGAGTGTTTACGTACGATCGTTAAGTGAGTTCGTGTATGTTTTTTAATTAGCAAGTTTTTGATACCTAGAGTTTTCCATATTTATTATCATGCTAACGTTATATTACATCACAATCACAGTTGGGTCAAAGTTAAAAAATTACAGCCTATATGCCTATATAATATATATATATATATATATATATATATATATATATATATATATATATATATATAGCACCCGGTTGACCGAGCTTTGCTCGGTATTTTTCGCTCGTTTATTTTAATTCGTGTGTTTTGGAAATTATATTTAGATGCAAATTACACACTGATGAAATACGAATAATGTTTTTTGATCTTAGCGACATAATGGAAAAAATTGAACTTGTTATTTGAATAAAAAATCATGAGTGCAATTAATTTAATTTAAATTTTCGTCTTAAAATACTAAAAAAAAGGGCTCGAAAAAATAGATTTTCTCAAAAAAGAAAGGAACTTGAAAAAAAAACTAAAAAAAGTCGGTCGGTCGGTCTGGGCTCGAACCATGGTATTACGATTTTGTAACCGCCCAATATACCAATTAAGCTATTTGTAATCATTAGTAAACTGTCAAAATTTACCTTCATATTCTAACGATATTGTAGCAGTTTCTCATTGCCTAAAAACACGGACAAAAAGACATTTTTCAAAAAAAAAAACCCCAAAACAAAAAAAATTATATATATATATATATATATATATATATATATATATATATATATATATCCTTCTAAGAGGGTTTTGAATCTGTTTTAAACTATACATGTATTCGAAAAAAACGTTTAATATCTCAGACAAGCAAGTTTCCTCATGATGTTTTTCTTCACCACTGACCACGTGGTAAATTGGCACTTCAAATTGCAATTAACAATGTTATAATTGCCGGCTGGTATCGAACTCAGATTGCTTACGTAAAATGATTTACAACGCTGATTTATTGGAATTGTAGCTGAACTCATATTTAGAGGAACTCTTCGTTGCCCAATTTGTAAGCCATGCTGCAGTTATATAAGTAGTATAGTTGTAGCACGAATGGGCGGAATGGGTCGGCTCGACCGGGTCAGGACCACGCTCTCACAGAATACCAGCGTAAAATAGCAGCTTAATGCTGCTGTGTTTCGTATGGTGAGTGTAGAGAACCGGAGACCCTTTTTACTGGAAACGAGGCATTCCATCTTGTCCTCACGGGTGACAACGCATCTGAATTTTGATTCATGGTCGAGGATAAATGTACATGTCTATGGCCCACAGCAACCACTTATCATCAGGTGGACTGTGTGCTCGTTTGTCACCCCATCCTATAAAAAATATTTTAAATATATACGTAATTATTATACTACCAGGTGAAAAGTAAAAACATAGAAGTTTATTATTTCATCTACATTCTACCCAGAAACGTAGACTGACCCAAAGCGTGCTTTGTATCATTGTTTTTCGATGGACCGCACCGCAACAAATGCAGCAATAGCATAGAAAAAGCAGCATCATTTGGCAGGTTTGAGGAATTAAAAAGATGCCAATAACATCTCAAAACATCTGAAGATTAACTGTTACTTAATATTTTTGATTGAAAATCTTACGAATAGTGACACATTCTAAGTACTGAAAATAGTGATAATATTTACACACATACACTCAGACATATGCCTTATTATATTGTTTTAATACATTTGAAGTAAAATACAAAGACTATAGAAGTCTTACTGATTTTATATATTTCAATATACTTCGAAAATAAGGGGGGGGGGTTAATACTAGACTATATATGTCCCACTGCTGGGCACAGGCCTCCTCTGATATCTGAGAGAGTTGTACACTACTGCATATTAACATCATACTCGTAACGTAGAAAAAATCTATTGCTGATTTCTGTATAGGAACCACATGGTAGAGTGAATTCTCATTTAATAGATTATTAAAACTACATGGAGCGTCAAAGACGTTTTATATTTATTTACTTTGTTATATAATATAAATATCCCATTAGTTCACACATAAAGGTAAAATTGACATTTAGAGAAACTGATATTTTCAATAGCTGGCTCGACACACTCGGCAGA